GTTCCAGCTTGGATGCCAGGTACCCTCAGATCACAGAGCCAGAGCTTGGTGTCCTTCCTATTTCTGCTTATGTAAAATTTGGAAGTTCCACTTCTCGCCATGGCCCATGTGGACTCACTGATTCATTCAATATACACTTGAGCACCTTCTGTGTGCCACAGCCTGCACTGGGTGCTAGGGCACAGCACTCACTGACTCAGGCCTGGTACTTGCTTATGGGAAGGCAGAATAGCGTGCAGCAGCAGTTCTCAAACTGTGGTCCCCAGCCGTTCATGTGATGTGGATGGAGGCTCAAGTTGGAGAACTACTGGTATAGAACAAACTTTTCCTGCAAAGGGCCAGAGAGCAAATAGGTGAGGCTTTAGGTTTTGAGAAGCAGATGGTCTCAATTCTTAACTCTGCCACAGTGCAAAAACAGCCAAAAACAGTACATAAATAATGTGTAGCTATGTTCCAATAAAACACTATTTTATTAATACTAAAACTTGAATTTCATATAATTTTTATGTGAAATGATATATTCTTCTTAAGATTTTTTCCAGCCTCTTGAAAATGTAAAAACCATGCAAAAACAGGTGGCAGGTTGGATTCGGCCTGTAGAATGTAGTCTGCACACTACAAGAGCATTGCAAGAGGTTTGATTTGAGGGTCCAGAATCAGACTGCCTAGGTTCGAATTCTAGGTCTCCCACTTGGCAGCTGGGTGACCTCAGGGAAATGACTTCCTCTCTCTGAGCTTCAGTTTCCCGTGTGTGAAGTGGGTCTAGTAATTAGCTGGTTGTGAGACTTAAATAAGACAATAATAACAGTTGACATGTGTATAAAGCTCTTACATGTGCCAGACACTGTTCTAAGCACTTTGTGTTCTAAATACTTGTGTCATATTGTTTTGTGTGACCTTAGAAAAATCACTTAATTTCTGGGTCTCAGTTTTCTCATCTGCTAGGTGGGATAAATAACATATTTCATAGGACTGTTGTGAACATTCAGCTTATAAAGTTGTAACAGTGCCAGGCACTATTTTAAAAGCTGGGGACAAGGGCTGGCCTGTGGCTCACTCGGGAGAGTGTGGTGCTGGTAACACCAAGGCCATGGGTTCGGATCTCTATATAGGAATGGCGGGTTAGCTCACTTG